GGGGGTCAAAAATTAAGACTGAATAATGTGAAACTGATGTGGTGATACTTATTGAGCAAAGATTTTGGACCAAATTCAAATCAAAAGTTTAAAAGAAATTTCAAAAATTTTGTCCAAAATGTTGTCAATCGTAACACAAAGTTTTTCCTCTTACCATAATTATTATCAGAATATTGGGCTAATTTCAACTTGCACCCTGAAAGATCTCTTAAAACTTAATTTATACTTTTAAAGTTTAAAAATATCAATTTACACTCTGAAAGACATAAATTCGTATTAATGTGCACCTGGAGCTAACTCCATTCATTTTACCATTAAAAAAGTTTGGACTAATTATAAATTATACCCCTCAAAGTTTAAATATTTTATGTTTATAATTCAAAAAGAATCTCATCCATTAGTGTTCGTTAAATAACTCTTAATTATATAGTTTTATAACATCTTCGCGTCGTGTTCAAGTCAATAAAAAAATATTTTTTAAAATTTAAAAAAAAATTATAAAATACCTATTTTTTTCTACAATACTCGTTAAATAGTTATTTTATGTCTATAGTTAGATACAAATCTTTTAATTGTCCGATTAATTAAAGTTAGATATTAATAACACAACTACATACAAAAAATAGTTATTTAATAAAAAAATAATAAATATTTTTTAATTTTTAAAAAATATTAAATAGTGTCATATGAATTGTCTAAATGTAAAATATATGTCACAACGCAACTGACTCTATATAAAAATATTTTTTCATTGACTCGAACATTATATGAAAATGTTATGACACGATACAATTGAGAGCTATTTAACGAACATTAATGAAATTAATTTTTTTTGGAACATAAATGTGAAATATTTAAACTTTGAGGGGTGTAATTTATAATTAATCCAAACTTTTTAATGGTAAAATAGATGACAGTTAGTCTCATATGTATATTAATACGTATTTATATCTTTCGGTGTGTAAATTAATATTTTTAAATCTTAAAGGTATAAATTGAGATTCGAGTGATCTTTCGGAGTACAAATTAATATTAGCCCTAGAATATTGCAACAAAGATAGACAAACCGAAGCCTATCGAGAACTGGAGAGAAAATCTATTTACCCAAATAAATATGAATGGAAGCATTTCATTGATGATTCATTAGTCATTCTTGAGAACTGGAGAGAAAATCGGAGCATGAAATGAAAGGCTTGGCCCTTGGCAGTTCCAAACATGTCCAGTTTGCAAAAATAGTAATAAAAAAACATGTTGTCAAATATTCTTAAACTTGTTGCCAAACAATCCCCATGACCCCCCAAAACTCTTTCCACAATTAGCCCCCCTCCCCCTACCCACAACCCTTCAGCCTCAAATAACCACCTCCCAAACCAAGCTAGAGTGATTCTGTTCACTTGAAACAGAGTTAAGTCCAACGAATTGTTGATCTAATGAGTAAAAACCCGGATATCTTCGTTCAATACTTAGGTTCAAGTCTCCATAGTTACGGCAGAGAGAGTGCTGTGGTGGTGGTGTGTTATTGAATCTTGGGTTCTTGGAGGGTTCTTGATAGAGTGATCAGAGGGAGAAGGGGTGAATTGAAGGTATCTAAATCAGAAAAAATTCTACTTAGTTTTAGCCTTTTGGATTTGGGAGGTTTATGGTGACCGGTAAAGACAGTGGTGGGTGATCTGCATGGTGGTCATGGTGGTCAAATGATATTTCAGAGGCCAAAATTGGTGGTGGGTAAGATGGCAGTGAACAAAACAAAAATGGGTATTCGTCTAAATCCATTCAGTTTAGACAAGAAGTGGACTATGCATATTAAACAGTAAACGTATATAGGGATACCCGTATATACTCGTGCGAGGATGGCCTGAAACTTATTCTCCCCGCCTTTGACCCCGCTAAACCCGTGATATATATTTATAATTTATATTTATTTATTTGTATATATAACAAATAAAATAATTAAGTGTTGTAAATTTTTATGTTTAATCCATTTGTTACAATGAGCTTTCATTCTTCTTATAAATCCATTTGTGAGGTTTTATGATTTTTTAATTTTTTTTTTTAAATCATAGAAATTATTTGTTATGAGTGAGGATGGTGGTGGGAACGTGGATCAAAATTTACCTACGGGACAAGGATGGTGATTAAAATTAATTGAAGGTTGACGAATATTTTTGAAGCATGTACGGGTAGAGACTACGCCCCCCGGCGCGGGGCTGTCTATTGCCATCCCTAGTTGAGGCCTAGTTTCTCTTGATTTTGAAGCAAGATGAAGCCTCACTGGGTGACTTCGTTTGAGGTTGTGTGGTGCTCTTACCCATTAAAACCTTCATAGGAAACCACACATATAACAGATGTTATATTTCTCAGGGTTCACCTATTCATGCTTATATGGTAGCTGTCTAAAGGTTCAAGTTTAGTCTGAAATCTGTGCTAGCATTGTTGTGCCTCCAATCTAATCATGTTTGTTCTTCATGCTTTCGCACCCTAGTATTGGTGGGGACTTAGAGAGCTGCCTTCGCTTTTGGCTTGCCTTAATATCATTGTCATTTACATGGTTTACAATCAAAAAAGAAAGGAATGAAGTTTTTGATGAATAAAACATGAATGTTGAATAAAATTTCTGAAATTTCATTGCATCTTTAAAGGGTACTTATTGCATCCACTAAATGAGGTTAGTCACCTCATTTTTCTCGCAATTTTATGGGGTGTTTTCAACATAAATCAAATTTTCAAACAAATGATAGATTGTAATGTATTTTTCAAGTAGACTAGATATTACATAACTTAGTTCTGTTGATGCAGCATGTGCTCTTCTGATTTCTATAATCTCTTACTGGAAAATGGTTGCACTGGCAAAATGGGAAAGACAGTACTTCAAGCAGCTATCTCTGCAGGATTTCATGTTGTTCCAGTGACATTTAGTGGCCTAAAAACGTGGTTGAAAAGATATTCAAATGACAAACATAGGTCAAGCTTTTTGGAGAAAAGGGAAAAAAAATTTAGATCTTAGTAATAAATTATGGCTAAAAGCAAGAAGAAATAGCTTGAATATTTCAAAGAGAAGCATTGTCAAGGTCATTTGACTTGTTCTAAGCTATTTATCAACTAAAAAATTATTACACTACTAAAATAAAAAAAATAAAAACTTTCATATCATTATCAACAACCAATCTTAGCTTTCGAAGAAGATAATTATATTAGTGATTGATATAATGAACATATTAATCATCTTAATATCGGGGCACTTTTTTAATAGAGGCAAAAGTTGTTGCAATACTAACATTATTAGCTCTACCACAAAACATAACCATCAAGTGACAATAATGAGTAGAAACACCAAATGTTCCTTACTTTTGAAATTGAAAAAGGACCAATGCATCAATAAATCTTGATCATGATAATAAATTACTATCAAGTAAAATCGCACTTTTTTTTTATGAACTAAAAATCAAAGTCACACTATGAAAAAAGGTAAATTTGTACAAATAATGAAAAAGGCATGGTGCACAACTAAAGCGGAATGAATGTATTTTTTGTTAATTGTGTTATCGCTAAATTCAATTATGCATCATGAGCGTGTGCAATTAAAGGAAATGATGTGTTCACTAGAACTTTCACCAAATTGAAATTTTGTTGGATGTAGCATTGTTAGTAATGAGAATGTCGAGTTGTTAGAAATTATTACTTACCGAAGTCCAAAAAATTGGATGTGGTCCTAAGAGGATCATGAAGTAAAGATTATAAATTTGGTTTTTTTTCTTTTCTAGGGTGGAGTGTCTTATTGAAATTTAAATTGGCTTAAAACAAAAACAATAGTATTTACCATTTCATTGAAATAATCATGATTCAAAGTATGTGAACTAGGTTTTTTATGTTGGTAGATTAAAAATATTATAGTAAGTTGGTGATGTTTTATGATTAAAAAAAAAGTTGATGATATTTGATTTTAAAAATAATTCACGTGTAACGTACGTGTACATCAATTAATAATTATAAAGACTCAAAACAAGACAACGAGAGAACAAGGAAGAGAAAGACTTGATACAGTGAGAATGGAGAAAAAGAGAGTGAAAGGAATTTAGGCTTTTTTAAAAAGTTGTTATATTTTATTTTTTATAAAGTTCTCCATAAACTTGTGAAAAATATTGTTTTATTATAGGGTTTTCTATAAGATTTTACATAAATTTATGAAATATATTAAGTCTTTAACTTGTCCATTCAAAAAGGTCTTAGAACATGAAACTAAAGTAAGAGCTGAAAATTAAATTAGCACCCAAAATTTTTGTTGCTCTAGACGACTATTTTAATAGTCTAGTCACTAGGGTCAACCCCACTGTTTCTTTTCTCGTTCAAAGAATCAAAGAATTTACATACCTCACAAATCATAATTTTTGCACTACTTTTATTATCGAGTCTTCTTCCATGAAATCGATTTAGTGAGACAAAATTGATTATTAAATGACACATAAAAACTAAAGATAATATATATGTTAATTTATATTTTATTCATTTTGTTTCAATTTGTCAAAAATTTTATGTGGACCATCACAAGATGATGTCATAATAAAGATATTCAATATTACAAAATGGTGCCGCATAATATTTTTTTTTTGTTGGTAATTCAGGCATTTGAAATATATTAAACATTACATATGTTCTACTTCATACCTATTTCATCTATGTGCAACAATGTTTTTTTTTTTGGAACAAGGTGTGCAACTATTCAATAGTACAATCCATATGAATAGTAAATATATCTAGATCATTATAATTAAATACACTTTTTTTAGCAAATAAATTCATACTTTTGTTTGTCTTCCTCACAAAAATTCATTTTTACAAAATTACAATTTTTACAATAAATTATATGCTACACCTCCATAGATATTGTACAAAATAGAAACTAAGTTGGTTTCTAAATATGGAAGCCTTCAAAGGAGGTGCCAAAGTTAGATGCACTGAAATAAATTTCGTAAATTTCTAAATATCATTCGTCAAATTTCCCTTCAATTGACATGATCAACAAACAAATCGATGAAGAAAGGATCCGACACTGCTTCTTTAGCTGAACCATAATTGTTTAGTTGCTTTTTAAGAGAACGCAATTCTCTCTCATCTTTGGAAGTTCGATCCTGCCAAAAATATTGCATACAAATCAAGTCCTAAATGTTTCATGGTTTCAATAGAAATAACAGGCAAACAAAATAAGTCAAGAAAATGGTCAGCATTATCAGGTAACAACATTTGTCCAATTGATTCAGAACTAGGGGTTGTGCAGACACAATACCGCATGCAGATAGGAAAAGGAGAAAGAGTAGAAAGGGATTAGAATGTATAATTTTAGGTGGTTAATTCCAATTGCTAATATAGTTAAAAAGAAAGTAACAAAAAATGAAGGGTATTACTGACTTTTCTTGGGTGGACACCAAAACCACCTTCCCCCTTTATTAATAGCATAGACATAACATAACAATCCAAAGTCTATCCATAGTTTATTTATTTGGCTTCCAACAAATAAGAATGTACTTCAAGCTCGCAATTATAAAGTAATGACGTTGAGCAGCAGCTGTTTGAAGTCCAGTGTGAAAACCTAGTACTGGACAAAAGTTGGAGTACAAGCAACAGAATTTGAGGGGTAGAACTGCCATAATACGAACGAATTACCAGGTTTGACAGTTTAGGGCCAACTATAATTGATAAGAACCACTACATGCTTGAATTCATTGTGATATTTTAGAGAATAGATATTCATAACAGGTCCACTTCGTTGAATAACTTGTAAATAAAAGGACTTACATATGATTTCTTCAAGAGCAAAATGTCAACCAAATATTGCAACCATAACACGTTCGTCTTGGGGAAACTGTATGACGATTAGAAGAAACAGAATTCAGCAACCATAAAAATAAACTATAACAGAAAACAAGATGGCAAGGAAAGATAACAAGGAACATAGATCTTCTTGTTCCCACATACAATTTTGATTTTGGAAATATACAGAAGCCCTGAGGACCAACCCCTATTAAGGAAATACAAAGAAGTCACATAAAGGCGATTACCTTTAGAAGTCTGTGTGGATTGTGCATTGCAATTGCAGCAATCGATACACAGAGCAAATCGAGGACAAAATTTTCTTTTCAGTAAAACTAAAATCTTCATCACATTACTCATCCTAGCAGAATATTCAGAGTATAAACATAGCACAGGCAATGCATGTGATCACAACTTAAGGAAAGGAGGGGGAAAGAAATTTAAGTGGGGGAGCAATTTGCAAAGATATATGGGAAGGAAGAGAATGGAGATCAAGTTACCAGTTTCAGCCACAATCTGAAGAGTGACACCACCTTTTTATGTATTCAAGGATTATTGTTTACTTGTGTCAGATATAAAAATTTAACCAACAATTTTGGCGTTCTATGTTTAAAGACCAAGTTGAGAAGTCGAGTTTAGTTACTAAACTAAAAACTATTTCAAAGAAGCAGCTACATCTATTTGTAGAGTTACTGTTTACCCAAGCCTCGCAAGCATGGATTCAATATTGGATTAATTCTGGATGTATTATCCATACTTTAAATTATGGAAACCCCTTTCTTAAGAAACAAATAGCATTATGCCACTATTTCTTAATTGGGATGATAAATTTATCCAGTTACTACCCTATGTAAAAGCCTAAATCCACCTCACTTGCCCAGAAATTCTTCTAAGTGGTAGCCAAGGATATAAATCTATAAAGGGACGGTACCACTCGGTAAGCACTCAACAGTCAACATAGATGTGAATATTTCAAAAGATTAATAGAACCCAAAACATAGTCCTTGATAGGATCACAAATGTTATCAATATACCACAAAAGTTTGGGTGCATGGTGATGTTAGAAATTGCCCATTTGTAATTGGCTAATTCTGTGAAGTCACATTGTAAATCTCAACATCAGTCCATAATCATGATGTTTCAAGTTCAGGATCCGAAACCTATACAAAGAAAGGAGTTCAGCGTCAAACTACATCATGAAAATCTCCCTTGATTCTTCAAGGCTTAGGAAAGGTAATAACATTCAAGACCTTAGAAACCTGGTATTTTTACTTTAGCTCAGTAGGTTAAAATTGAAATAGATTTAGGATAATCCGTTAATGACTCATAGACATTTCATTAAAATATTTGACACATTTAAACTTGTTTTGAAAACATAGATTGAACCATGTATAGGATCCTTATTGAGCAGCACTCCTTAGTGCTCAAACAGACAAGTTTGTGCTTGGTTTATGGCTTAAAAACCAGTAGGGACTGCCCTCTTCTCGCTTACCTTCTACTAGAGTGGTCTTGGAACACTTATGGAAAAATCGGAGAAGGTTGAAGAAGTTGGCAGCAGAGACGGCTTGAGCTGTCTGGCGATGACTCACGCAGTCCCAGCTCAACTCGATTGGTTTGATTCGTTTCTTCGTTTCAGAGATGTCCACTCTCTGGCTGCTCTCTAATGGCTCGAGTGATTTCTCACAAATTTTAATTTTCTTGGGCTCCAAGACTACTCTAATTCCGGGTCTACAAATAGGGAAGTCTCTCTAACCTAGGAAATTTCTCATAAAGCATCAAATTTGCCTTTTACATCTTTAGAAAACCAGGAATAAACCCTAGATCCCTAAGATCTAAAAGGCCAATTCTATTTGATTGCTCCATTTAACTTCACACATTGAAGAAAAAAAGATCTAGTGGAGAACAACCAAACCCACATTAGTTTCTTAAAAATGCTCGAGACCTAGACGGATTGTTGTGCTGATCGAGTTCAAGTCAAGCTAGTTCTCAGTATCTCACAGTGGGTGAATCCAGAGAGATAGATTAAAAGACGAAAGCATCTAACCATGGGTGTATTGGTTGAGGTGCAAGAATTATATCCTTATAATCAATTTTGAGAATACTAGATTAGGTAATGTGAATCAAGATCACTTCTGTGATTTTTTCCAAAAAGGTTTCCACGTTAAATTGCCAATTCTGTGAATTGTTGATTTATATTAGCAAGCACACACACACACACATGCAATAACACACATTCACGATGTGTTTGATGAATTGACTCATTGATTGTTATATTCAATCTCTTCATCAACTTGGTTGTCATGGTTGTTGGCTTGTTTGGAGGAATAAGGTTGGAGGATTGGATTGTTGTTGAGACTATTAGTTGACACATCTTGCATCCCTTCATGCTTAACAGATTTGTTCTAACTGGAAAGGGTTCAATAAGCTTAATTGAATAATTAATTTAGTAATTGTGGACTTGTGGTTAGTTGGTTTTCAAATTAGTGTTTGTTCAATTGGAACTGTCATTAGGGGTGTAACTTGGGC